TAAAATGCATATTTTCTCCATTGGGGTTTCAGCACATCCTTAGCTATTGTAAATTGATACTAATAAGTAATGTTAAATTGGGATAATTTAGTACTTCCAAAGCTGTTTTTGAGCTCCCTCACTGCACAAAAGAATTCGATGAAATTGTTCTGGGGGTTGATGTTGTCAACTGCTAGCAAACTTTTTTTTTAAATTACAGCAAAGTGCATCAGGGCTATCTGCATAAGGGAAAGAATGCCTTTTTGGAGGACTTTCAAAGGGAAACTGGTTAATATACATGTCACACATCAAGAAGGCAAGGAAAATGCTCACACAGCCAGCCCGTTTGCCAGGATTCGAAACCTGGACCAAACTATCAGTCTTCAGCAGCTTTAGCTCTTGGCCACTAGTTCTCCACTTAGGAACAGGATTTAGGTCATAAGGCAAAAGTAAATCTGGAATAGTTTCTTTTAGAATGTGTTACTTTGCTCTTATCAGAAAGAGGGTTTCTAGAATTATCCATTTTGGAGTTAGCATCATTATTGCATTGACTATTGGTTCTGAAAAGCTGGTTTTGATGAAATTTAGTTTTCAGATATATTGGACAGCCACTGTTTCCTGAAGTATGACAAAGAATCTCCTTTACTCAACACACTTTAATACAGAGATACTCCTTGATATTTCTGATGTCTTTAATAGTCTGAATTATAATAAAAAGTTCCAACAAATTTCTATTCAAAAAATTATTCAGTCATTCATTATGTTTTTGATTACCTTCACACGTTATAAAATAGATTTTTAATGCAACACTAACAACTAAAAAATATTTCTAACATGAAAAAGGGGGTTTATTAACTTTCACACTGAGAATGGAGCAAAATTCTTTATTCTTTTCTCTTCTCTCCATTATATTTCTGCAAAACTGTACAACAGTCTTATATAAGACAAGAATTCATGTTTTTTAATGGTTCAAAATAGCATTCTGACAGACTACCTGATGTTATTGGCAGTTCTGCCATGGATATACAAGTATGAGCGAGTTTCAAGATATGTCTTTATGCCGGTAAAGTCGGCAGTTTCTGATACTAATACTCAACTTATTGATTCTCTGCAGTATTGGTGTGTCACTCCAGCTTTCCTTGTTTTCTCAATCAAATTATTTGCTAAAATTATGTCAAATAATTCCCGTAATATAATACTAATAAAATGTAGTCTCAAAAACATGCTAAACTATTTGATTATTTGTTGATAATAAATTTTATAATAATTTAATATAATCAATAAATCAAATTTCTATATATAAAAGGCCTAAAAAAGATGCTTTATTTACACTTTCGGTCATCAGTCAAAAATGTTTAATCCGGAATGATCTATAATCCGGACCTCAAAGCTACAAACTTTCTGCGCATATGCATTTAAGCATGCACATATGTTTACGCATGCGCATTTAATGTACAACGGACGGTATAAGGTAAGCTAAAATTATCTAATTATCTATTTCAATTAATGTTGCAGAGTGTGTTGTTCCTTAATCTTCTAATTGGATCCAGCTTATTATTTTTTGCAGACTCTTAGAGCAATTTTATAAAAGTAAGCTTGAACTTTGGATTACGCCAAAAAGAATTTCCGATTCTGGAGCTGCCAAACGATCTATAAAGCGAAAGCATGTGTCGATGTCCATCAAACAAAAAGTGAAATTGCTGTGAAAAATGGATAAAGGCATATCCTTTGTTTCTCTAACCATTCCAATATCTGTTTATCAATTTCACGCTGCTCTGTGGGGGGAGGATGTTGCACCGTGCAATGAACTGGATCTGTCAGCACTATCCTTATGTTCAGGGCAGATGTTTCTATTTTATTCGGCTTATAACTCCTTACTAAATGTAGTATTTCATCTCGATGTACTCTGTCTTCGATATGATTTAAATCAAATCCATTGTCATTATAAATATCACGAATACACATCAAATAGTTTTCTGGTTGCAATTTTCTAATTTTGACTATGTGTAATGTATGCTTTACGCATGCGCGCGTTGAAAGAAATGTTTAATAAAGTAAACAAATAAATATCAAGTTTTTTTTTTGTAAATTTTGATACCCTTTAGATCATAATTGCTCTTTATTTCAGTTACGTTTTACTCTTTTTTCAGTTACTTTATTTCAATTCGGTTTCATATTTTTAATTTTATAATTTCTGCATGCCATCTTACCAGATTTAAACTGATGATCTACAATCCGGAAAAAAATTATAATCCGGAATCGTTGAAGTCCTGACGAACTTTTGACTGTATATACAATTGTCTTTCATAAAAAGACACTTATGTTGAAGTATGATGGATCGTTTATACAACAAAATAAATTTAAAATCAAGTCAAATTCGAAGTTATCCATTCTGCAGATTATTTGTGTTCCTCCCCCCTTCCCCCCCAAAAAAAATATTCCCAGCTAACGTTCAAAGATGGTTGCAACATTTTAGAAGAAATACAATGATTTTTGATACAGTGAATGACATTGCTGTGGCTTAAAATGAAGTTAAAAATTTAAATACAAAGAATTACCACACAGACAAATATTTAGCTCATTTAGCTTTGAGAATATTTCTAAAAGAAATGTACTTAAATATATGTCATCAGCAAGAAATAATATAAACAGGTCTCTTTTAGAAATCTTAGAGGACCACAACAGCAGAATTTGAGGATCAGGACCACAGGCTGAGAGAAATACTGCTCTACATCATTCATTTAAAAATGAAGAGCAGTTAAATGAATTAACAGTAACTGTCACTTGTTAAAATTACTTCCATTTTAACCGTATTTGAGTGTATTACAAACAGCTGAATTTAATAGATGGTGATTTGTGCATTGCAAACAGGGATATCAGTAAGTAAAATAATACCTAGTAACTAATAATAATCAAGTCATTCATTATTTAATCTGAAAATAATAATAATAAATGAATACGAATACTTAAATTATTTACCCAATTTTGAAATTCATTTTTTAAATTTTTATAAAAATATTTTCATAATTACATTCTTAATGAAATTTTATCCCTTTAATAAAAAGCAGTTTTTCTATTGATTAATACGTATTTGTTTCGGTTGCTGCAATTTCCGAACATGACAAGCGGCTTAATCAAGGAGTTAAATAAGTGGTAAATAGTGTAATTACAATTTTACATTGTTATTTTTGGATAATACACTATTTCTGGTAACGCATGCATGTCTAAGTTAGTTAGCAGAAGTAATTAAGAGTTCACGGAACTGTATACAAAATTTTTGGGTTATAACACACACAAAGCTTTTGTTTACTTAGTAAATGGAATAATAATTATAAATGAAGAATTTTTCATCTGAATACTAACATTACAAATAAATCTCCTTTTACTGTGTTCTGCCATTAACAATGTCAGTTTGAAAGAAGTTATAGCAGACTCCCAGTTAATTGACCTCTAACCGACTGGACCTTAGGTCAAATTAACTGCTGGTTAATCTCAAAAACACATAAAATAACTTTTTAGGTAATTACTGTAAATCAAATAAAAAAAGGCATGCATATAAGTTCCATAGTTATTAAAACATTTACTGAATTAAAAGTTCTATTCACCCCACAGCAAACTGAAAAATAAAGATAATGATTAAAATCTAAAAAGTACAGAAAAGCCACTAAAGAACAAGCTTTAAGGCATCCAAATCTATGATTAGCAATGTTGCTACTTAGCATTATTTTTCAGATGAACCAATATACTGAGTACAATGAACTGTATGCTTTGTAACTACATTAGAATTTTAATACAATGAATTATATAAAAAAATTGTGAGAAATTTTAATTTGAGTAAAAGGGGAGGATATCACAAAAAATGGCCAGTTAGAGCAAAGCAAGTAAAAGAAAGTTGAACAGTATTTTAATTTCCCAGTGTGCATTCCCTGACAGAGAAAAATGCAACAATGTGAATATATTATGCTAGGATAACTGTAAAGTGGATGCATATGTGCTAGTTATGCAGATGATTAAAATTTTTGGCTATATGTAATAGACATGGTAAAGCACACACACACATGCTCCTTTTTCCCCCTCCTCCTCATTTAACATGTAAAATTCTGTAATAAAAATTAAATTTTTACAATTCCTCCCCATCCTTTTTTTTATATGATAATATAAACAGGTGATAAGTTCTTAAGATATTATAGTAGACTACGCCCTTTTCAAGTTGCTCTTTTCCTCATTTTATTTTGTTTAAGAATGTTGCACAGAAAATTTTTAATGCTACCTTAAACTACATTGGTTCTAATACAAAATTAAACCCAGAAACAGAACCTTTCAAAAGAGAAATGAGATTATTTGCTATCCGAATGCAAAATAAACTTTACAGGAGGAAGATCTGCACTTTGTGCTCAACTTCCTTAAAAAAAAAAAAAAGAAAAGAAAAGAAAATATGCATCAAATCTTTAAAAAAAAATTGAATTACAACAGACCAGTGACATGTATAACATGTGACATAAATTTTTTCAATTACATTGACCAATTCTTTAAAAGTTCTCAAAAATTCATACAGGTATATCTCATATTGCAATTTTGGTTCCAGGTACTTACTCAACAACACATAAATTGCTCTGTTATACAATAATTTATCAAACAACGATGTTCCTTCATATCCTTATCATTTAATTTCCTTCAATAATTTTACCACTGCATTCACAACTGTTGGATACAAAAGGCCTAATTTTCAGCCTCTCTTTATTCAATATATTTAATCTTTATAGGTCATGAACAAACCTTGCATTCAAGGTGCATATTATCAAGTGGGAAAACAAATTCAGATAAACTTGGTGATTTTTGCCAAATGACCCACAAAATAAGTCCTACTTACAAAGCAGTCTTTTGTTCCAATAATGCACAGTCGCATTAATGAAAATAATCAAATGTTCTTTAGTTTATAAACATTAATAACCATAAAATTTTAAACAATTAATAATAATAATTACCATTATTCAACAATATAAAAATTAAGACAAACTTACTCGCTTCTTTCCTGGTTCACATTTCCTTTCTTCATAATCATCAGGAAGTTGTAAGTAATCTTCCATTGATGAATGTTTCTTCTTACTAATCCTCAAACCATCCAGCTGATCTATTTTTAAAGAAAAACGATAACATAATTAGAATCTATTTCAAACCATCTAAATTAGATGTTTATTAGAAAACTTTAAAAGATATATTGTAACATTAGCATCAACGATAATATGAGATTTACATATACTGATAATTTCAGTTACAGCATTAAGAGACTATAATGGAGAATGGGAAAAAAGATAAATCATACAAATTTACAACTATACTATATTAAATAGAGAAATAAAAAATATATACCTAGCTTTTCTTCCGTAGCTTCAAGCTTTTCCCACCGACTTGGAACATGAAACTGCTGAAACGAACTTCCAAAATTAGCAGCTGAAAGATTTCTTCAGATAACCTTAATGAATATAGCTTCAAATCTGATCATATTAGTACTCACAGTTATAGAGTAGATTAGCACAAACCTATGTACCCTTTCAAGAAATGCAAATATCACAAAATACAAATATAATATACAGTTATAATTCAACAACCCCCAAAAAAATATTCTACTTGCCAGAAATGAACTTGATTCCTCTGCATCATTTTCTTGTGCATTTTCATCCTTGGCATCATCTTCTTTCTTATCACTAGACTCAACTTCCATTTCCACCTATATAAAGCACACATATTTTCTAAAAAACTGCCAACTAAAGTGTATATAAATTGTTTCAAAAGGATTCTGTACAAAAGTTTCAAAAAATTAATTTTCCCAAATGTTAAATTAAAAAAGTTAAATGGAGAATAATGTTGTTAATAATACATACTTCTGTAATAGCTACATCTTGCAAAACAGAACGAACATCGATACTCATAAAATGCCTTGGTTTAGGTTCCCAATTTTCTAAAATCTATGAAGAAAAAATATATCACTATGCACTGCTCGAACTCATTATGCAGCATTATAATTATTACTTTAGTTAAAACTTTTATTACACTGTGGATGTAACATTAACTACAATACTGAAACATACATAAAAATTTTAAACTACCTTTGTTATATCACTTAATGACCTATTGTGGATATTTCTTTTATGACAAATGACAGGATCTTTACAATCCATTTCAGCTATATAAACCTAAAACAGATTAATATATCATTATTAAATTTATAAACAGCTATACAGAGCTGAAAACATGTAAATATATTTAACAATTAAACCTAATACTGCAAAGCTTAAAAAAGGAAATTAAAAATTTTTGTTGTAATTAGAAACTACTCTACTTAATGTGATGAAAAATCTATTTTTCTTTTAAATATTAATTATTTCAAATTTATCTGACAGTCAACATTTCAAAAGATAATAATAATCATTGCAAAACAATAATATATATATATATATATATTATATATATATATGGACTTACACCATTTCTGAGAAATTTTACAGAAACCTGTTGACCATGAAAGTTGGATAACATCAAACTATGAAAGTTAGCATTCTCTCAAGGTTGCCTTAATTGTTCCTACAGAATTCTGAAGAAACTGATGTCTCTATATTTAATAAACAATCAGTATTTGACTCACTTAATTTTTCATCTTTGTAAAAAGAGCTTTCATCGATTCCTACTAATTTTGGGTACTTTTCTGTTAGTGGAACCAAATTTAAAAGTGTATATATCTATGTGTGCATGTACACAAGTATGCGAGTGTATTGATATATACACATATACATATATAAATACACATATACCTAGATACATTTTTGAATCAGGTCTCAATGACAGAAAAGTACAGTATTTTGTTAGGCCCTCTGATTTTACAGCATTATGCTCTATTTATAAAAGCTATGAGTACAAACATTCTGCAGGTAATGTTATTATTTTGCTGTCCATATTTAACTGACCATATTATATTCATTAATACACACTTTTTTTTAAGGTTGTATTTCATAATTTTGAAAAAAATCAACTGCTTGTTGTTCTTTAGATGACATGTTCCAAATTTTATTTTATTTTATTTATTTATTTTGAAATGCAAAAGAAAAGAAAAATATAGCAATAGTAGTTAATTTATGTCTTTGCTCATAAAAACAAAATGTGGCTTGTTGAGAATGAGTTTTATCGAGAGTTTACATAAAAACAAAAATGCAGATGTTATGAATTTGCTGTTACATCACGCTTATCCACTAGTGGCACTACTATCACGCTGACCGCCGCTTGGCAACAATTTCGCAGTTGATAAGGTAATACATAACCTCCGCCCCCAAAAAAACTACATTTTAAAAATAATTTATGGCATTTCATAGTTCAAGAGATTTTTAATTACACAGATCATTATCAAATGTTGAAGCTGATAATTTGGATAAATTTACACCTATATAGTTTTAGGTGAAGAAAAAACAAAAATTTACTCTCCATACACTTTGTATGTAGTATGTGATTCTATTATCTGTTTATCTATACATGTATATAGTGCATGAGCAGAAACTGCCATGAATTTAAACTGAGAAATCAGAAATAATGTAAGATTTCCCTTGCTATCTGTTTTCTGTTCTTGGTTCTCAGTTATCAATAAGACTTCAATGAATGCAGATCTCAAAGCAATTCGATTATGAGTGGCCTGAAGAATGGACAAAGGCTCATCTGCCTTGGATGACCAACAGCAACATTACAGACAAACTGAAGCTGCCTGCCACACACACACACCCCAAAAAAAGCTAAACACAGAGTGAGAAATACTGATTTCATTCCAAATACACATTAATTCATCACTCACTAGATGCCTCTATCACAATCCACAAGATTTCTTGAAGTCTGTCAACAGAACTCAAGTCTTCTACAAAGGAAGTTGCTGCATGAGGACCATACATATTAAAGCAATACTCTGCACAAGCATACATGACCTAATTTTATGCCTTGAAATGGCTTCTGCTCGGAATGTCATAAAGAAGATGGAAATTTGTGAAACAGAAAGCATACATTTTATGGATAGCATAAAATTTTGCAAGTGATATGAAATAGGGTATTTTATACTTAAAAATTGTTCATAGATGCATGTCATGATGAGACACAGTTTATTTATGATCAGACAACTAACTGGTCAACGATGAAAAAAGAATATTCATTGAAAAGAGTAATGACTGCTAAAAGACTAGACATATATCTGCATTTTACACTAAGAATTCAACCTGCCAAAAAAATGGAATACAAATAGTTTAAATAAATCATGATTTAAATTTTATTATATGAAAATAGATGCAGAACACAAAAATAAACTCCCTAAAAAATTTTTTCAGACCAAAAATGCATATATGTTCATTATGACACACTATTCATTAGTATACCATCAAATAAATTCCATTACTATATATATGTATATCTTTCGTAATTGAGACCCCGTGTTCTGTGCCTTTGTAATTAGACAAGTGGACACATTTTCATTGTTCTTCATTGCAGTTCCTTAATTTTGAGGCTTTTGTTTAATTAATCTTTATCGTTTTTCATTTTGTTTTATAACTTAGCTTTTGCATTTATTTTTTCAGTAGTTTATACTATTTTTTACATTTGTATTTAATGCTGCTTGATTTATATATTTATTTTTTAAATACGAATGCATCTAGGGGAAAGATCTGAGCTCATTTGAAAAATCATTTTAAATTTTATGAGAAAAGAATAGCAAAAGTGGTTTTAAATCTCAAATGGTTCGGAGGAATGAAACATGCATTCGGAACTCATTAAATAAGTTTAAGGCTTCAAAACATTTTTTCTTTGACAAGTTCTTTTTGAAGCATTAAACAAAGAAGATTAATTTCGTTTTTTAGTGCATTTGTTTAGCACTTGTACCATTTTCAAGTATGCTTACATAGTAGTTTTTTTTATTTTTTTTTTCTTTGGGTTCTTTATGTTTATTAAATATTTTCCATTCAATAGATGTAATACGGTGATTTCACCAACTCGGGAGATAAGATATCAGGTTTGCTTTTATTTTGCGCATTAAATTTAACCCCCCCCCCAACATTTTACTTTGATTGAAATTGATTATATATATATATATGTATATAAAGACATTCTCTCACATGCATACTATTGCTTTGAGGTTATGTTTTCTAAATACCTGGAATCCTCTTTGTTTAGCATAGCTCCAGTACTGTTCATACTGCTTAGACTTATCATGTACAGCATCAACAATGATGAAAGGGAAAAAACGATCATCAATAGTCTTCTTAAAAGATTTAAATAAACTAGAACGATACACTTCTTCCATGCCCGATTCATATTCAAATTTAAACTCCTGAAAATATAAATTCAATGGCAATTTTACATAAACATACATGAAGCAGAAAATAAATTGAAAACTTATATTGCATTCCTTTCAAATTAAAGAAAAATCCTTAAAATTCATAATATTTATAAATATTCATCAGCAACATTTAAATATACAAAATATACATTAAAAAAACCACAATGAATTCACTATAATACAGTTAGACATTATAATATTAATAGAATAAATATACTACAAATTAGTGTGTTCAGTAAACTTAATTATTTTTCTCATTAATCCTCTATATCATAGCTGTCAACCTTGAAGTATGAAAAACAAGGAGAGAGCCACAGGTTTTCCATGCAGCATAGCAATTCAATTTCAACAGAATGCCAAATTAATTTAAATTCATTTTATTATGTATAATTCAGGTTACTGGCACATTTTACAATATACACCTGCCAACCTTGAAATGTGAAAAATCAGGAGCATGATGCATGATAACCCATTTCAAAAGGAAACTCTGAATTTACTTAAATTCACTTTATAATATATTATTATTCAGGTCATTCACCTATTTCTAATATGATTGTAATGTAAACATATATATAAATATTTAATTACATATTCTAAATTTCGTGTTCTTTGTTTAATTTTATTTCATAATTTTCTTATACTTCTTATATTGAGAAAATTCTGAGTAAGGTCAAAAAGCTTTTATTTATCACAGTACTTTTAAATATAGTGAAAATTAAATTAATAATAAGGGATATACTATATGTAAAAACTTAGTAATATACCATATTTTTATGTAAAATAACACTAAAATAAACTAATATTAATGTATTAAACTCTGACTGATTCTTCAAAAAAAGGTTCTATGTCTCTAACAGACAATTCAAGACAAATAAAATTTAATATGAAAAATTATCCTGAAATTTACTAGTGGGGGGTATATAGTTTGCATAACTCAAGTTTCATTAATTCAATACACTTAATTTATTCCTGGGAAACATTTTTCATAGTAAGAGCTAAAAATTAAAAAGGGAGAGATTCAGTTATCTAGGAGAAGTGATGAAAAAACGGGAAGGTTGACAGCTATCATACAGCAGTTCACCATTCCACTTATGATGAATAATTGAAATCTAGCCTCATCACTAAATATTACACAGATAAGTGCTGTCTTCCATAGCAGATTGCATATCATTACAAAGTACATATTGTTAAATAGGACCATTTGGTTGCAAATTTTGCAGTAACTGCACACACTATGGTTTCATTTACAATCAAGCTTGCAAAATCTTCCAGACATCTGGCTGCAGAGTATCAAGCTGACGAATGGCATGTGTATACAAGAAACTTTAACTCTCTCTCCATTGTTTCCCTAGAAACACACACACGTCCACAGCTTCAGACTTACATAAAAAGTTCATGCTTTTAAAATATAAGGTTGTAGAATTCTTTGTTGGCGTGACAGTAATATTCTGTACTGTTTTTGGAATAAAAGGCGTACAGTAACAATGGATAAACACATCTCAATTGAAAATACAGAATGCTTACTAATGCATAGATGACATTTTTATAAGCAGCTACCTAACTTTGCTTGTGATGATACCTGGTAGTAAATACAAACTTAATTTTTATTTTTGCACATTATTTATTATTCAATATGTAATATTTTCTTTAAATACAGTGTTTTAAAAACCTGATGAATCATTTGTAATTACCCTTAAAATCTGTTTTAAACTATTACAATACGAAATGGGTTCAAATCTTCAAAACAATATAACAAAATATAAGCAAAATACATAAACAGTTACGACTTGTAGTAACTTAAACTTGACACTGTTTAACTTTCTGAAGCCAGCTGGTACAGCAGTTGTACCAGGAAAATGACTTTCTTTAACGCCGGCTGTGCTATGTCGTACCAGCCATGCCCTCCTATTTTAGAGAATCGCCTATCTGTAGATCTCTGGGTGGTCCATTGTCGCTGCTCAGAATAGCCGCTGGCTACGCATTATTTCCCTCTTCTTATCAGTTTGGCTACATTTTGGCAAAAACTGCAGGTTTCGTCTCGCGCCAATATACTTGAAAATCAAATAGAGCCCATCTCTAATTTTTTTAGTACTGACTTTTGCTATGATTAAAACGTCAGCGATTTTGCACGCTATTTAAGCAGATTTAACACTTTTTAATCATAGCAAATAAGAATAGATTCATTTTTTAGATTTTATGTCCTTCTAGAAAATAGCTAAAACCGCTTTTATCGTTTACTTCCTTTTTAAACTTATGGATAATAAGATTTTATTTTGACATTTTTTTGGGGGGGAGTGCATAAAACCCTTAAGAACTATTAACTCTTTCAAAGTGCTTCTATTATGTAGGCAATTTTGTCTGATTTATCAGGAGATAAATAAGAGACAATGGTATGCATAATAGTTTTTGCACTTTTCATTCATTCAATGATTGCTTTCAATGATTTTCATTGATTGTAAATTAAATAAAATCAATTTATCTTTAGACCCTCTTTTATGATGAGATCTGACAAAAAGTATTTAAATATCAGTAAAGCTCACGTTACTTCTAAATTGAATCAAAACATCAGTTACATTGTATAAACATTGTAAACTACTTCTGTCACTTGACGATAAATTTCGGCCGGTTTAACATTCCTCGCGTTCAAAAATTTAATCATGGCACGAATCTCACAGTCAGGGGGAGAACTAATTGTCTTAAACATTTTGAATGTGCACAGCAAACTGAAAACACAACATAGAGCAACCAAAATGGCGACAATTGAAAGTCAGTGAACAAGAAAGACTAGTGCGCATGCGCAGGACGCCTACCACAGTGCTGCGACGGCGCTAGAATGAAACAGTACTTAGTTTCCGAATATGCTACATATGTTATTAAAAATCACATTCCAACCTGCAGACTTACAAAGCTAGTTCATATTTATTATATTTTGTAAAATTTTGTTCTCGTTTTCTAATTTCTATTACGAAAATACGCAAATATAAATGAAGTGTGAAAACAAAGTTATAAAATTCACAAATTATTGAAGAGATTGATCAGAAATAGTGAGTAAAATATAAACATTGCATACATTTTGTTCTAAATCAATAGTGCACTGGATATGCATAACTTCATTTAAATGAAAGCAAAATAATCATCGAAAAAATAAAAAATCTAGCAACCCATCTACTATGGGACAGTGTCCGACAAACATGTAAATTTTACTGCATACATGGTACTAACGACTTTTCTCATTAGGAAAATGTCAAAGAGGGGGTAAAACTGTTTCTGATCATGCCGGTCTGAAGGCTATATTATGAGAATTTCGGCCCGGATTTAGAAGGTTAATAGAGCATATGCAATAGTAATACCATACTATACACAAAAAGGAAGGGAGATTATAAAGTATTCATAGCTGTCAACCTTTGAAATATGAAACACTGGGAGTTTCCAGGAAATTCCTACACTGCACAGCAATGCCATTTCAAAGAAAAGAAAGTAATTAATGTATGTTTCAGGTTGCTGAAGTATTTATAATGTGATTCTCATGCAAAAAAATTAATACTTAGATGTTCTAAATTTTATGTTCTTAAGCCTCGTTCATTTCATAATTTTCTTATATTTCGTACTTTATACTGAAAAATCTTACACGGAGAAGAAATGTTTTATAACAAAGTTCTTTTAAATATAATGACAATAAAATTAATAATTAATGTACATGCCATTGTGTTGATAAATTTAGTAATGTAATATTTATTGAAGTAAAACAAGATTTAATATAAATATCATTCGATTAAATGCTGGCTGAATCTACATAAAAAATTCTACGAACATCAACAGTAGATTAGGACAATTCAGATCAAATAAAATTTAATAGGGGAAAATGCTGAAAATCCCTTGTGGGGAATTTGCATAACTTATGGTAACTTATTGTGTCACTTTCATTAACGGAATAAATTTAATTTATTGCTGGAAAATGTTGTCCTTAATAAAGCTTAAAAATAAAACACTGGGCATTTCAGTGATTTACTAGGAGATGAGAAGAAAAACCAGAAAAGCTGGATACTTATGAGTATTACATATATTTACCTTTCTCTTTATGCGTTTTCCTGTATCAGAATCTATATCTGTAACTTCTGTTTCTACCATAAAATAATCATCAAGAGACAATATTCGAGGTGCTGATCCCCCATTTTCAATTTCTTTATCCTGGTGAAAAATATTCCATCTTTCTTAAGTGACTTACATTCAAGTGAAATAACACAATGTTAGTTGAAGTTAATTCCCATTTCAACAATTAAAAAGTGTAATGAAGCATAAGAGCATTTATAATATAGCATTATATTTACCTTAATTAATTTTGCTACATATGTTTTACCAGAACCTGGAAGTCCCCGTAATATTATCACAAGCTGTTTTGGCCTAGATAGTCGCTTAGGTGCAATCAACAAATCTTCAATTAGAGCTGTCTCAGAAATATCATTCTTGAATATTTCAGGTGGAAGTTTAAAAGTTGTGTCAACATTTTTCACTTCCCTACAATAATAGAAAACAGAAGAAATATTTAAAGATACTAAGAAAACAAAACAATAGTGCGAACAATTTATACAGGTCAAATAACTTTTACAGAATAAATAATGATATACGAATAAAAAAATTTTAATATACCAGTTATAATTTACATAAGCTGATCAATTTTTTTTAAAAATTCACCTATCAGGTGAAATTTATATTTGAATTATGAAAAAAAAAAAAAAACAATTTCAAATTTAAAAATTAAAATAAAATTTGAATAATATTTCCCAATGAAAATTTTATCACTTTCTTCTCACAGAATCGCAAAACACTATAAGCTTTTATCTTATAATACGCAAATTTAATACATACACTGAAAAAGCATTTTGCAATTAAAAAACTATTATGAGGATAAGAAATTCTTTCTCTTTAATGCTTTTCTACAGAAACAAAATGCTGAAAAATCCTAAACTATGTTTTCTAAAAACTGTTTATATTTTCTAAATAAAAATAAATTTATCTGCATAAGATATAAGAACTCAGCTTATGAAATTCATTAATAATAATAAATCTAGCATGAAATTAATTTTTTAAGTGAAATAATTGAAATTGAAAGAAGAATTTAAAAAAAGAATTTCTCAGATTTAAAGAAAAATAAGTAGTACATTATAAAGCATTTCTCCCATTTCCCTAGCCTGCCTTCGTGGTGTAACGGTAGCACGCTGGGCCAGTATTCCAGAGGTCCGTGGTTCAATTTTCGGCGACAGCAGTTGCATATTTTTCATCTTTTCTGCTTCCAATTAACCTAACGACTCTACAAGTGGCGCCCGAACTAAAAGGGTTGTGGATAATGATTCTCCGCACCCAGGATTTGGCGACTAGGTCCCCTAAAACCCTAGCCGCGCTTTAAAAAGGGGGAGTATATAAGGTATTTCTCCCACTTCCCTAGCGTGCCTTCGTGGTGTAACGGTAGCATGCTGGGCCGGTATTCCAGAGGTCCGTGGTTCGATTCCCGGCGAAGGCGGTTGCATATTTTTCATCTTTTCTGCTTTCAATTAACCTAGTGACTCTACAACATATATGAAGATGATGAAAATATCAACACCAAGCATGACACATTCCAAAATTAAATTCATTGATTTAATGCATTAACAAAAAATTATAAATATAAAACTGATGTGAATTACATTTCTTTCTTTGAATTATTGCTGACTTTATCCTTCGCATAATTCCTTGCATTTTCCTGATTGCTGTCCCATTTGAAACGCTTTTCTCTTTCACTCTCATCCTTGTGTCGATCTCTGTCCCAGTCTCGGTCCCGGTCTCTCTTCTGATCTCTTTCTCGGTCTCTTTCCCTCTCTCTTTCCCTGTCTCTGTCTCTATCTCTATCCCTGTCTCTATCTCTATCCCGATTATCACGATCTCTCTCACGGTTATCTTTACGGCCTCTGTCTCTGTCCAGATCTCTATCACGATTTCTATCCCTCTCCCTAAATGGTTCCCGTTCTCGTTCTCGGAAGGGTACTGGTGGCCGTTCCCCATTTCTTTCTGGGACAAATGGTGTTTCCCTGATAAGCGGGCTCCTCTCCCTTCGATGTGAATAGTCAAAAACTAAGAAAAAAGGAAAAAATACATGATTATTCATTTGAAAAGTAAAAGCACCAATTATACACTTTAAAAACAATAAAAACTACTTAATCTCATTTTCCCAAATCTTTGTTACAATCTTACATAACAAAACTTTAACCAGCCATACACTCATACTGAACTTCTGGAGAAAATATGATTATAGTATTTTTTCATAAAAAAAATTAGGAAGAAAATATGAATTTGATTCCAAACAATGAAAAACATTAGTTTCAGCATTCAATAATAAAAATATTTCAATCAAATAATGATTTCCAATACCAGTTAACTCTTTTCTTATGTTGAGAATACTTTTTATTATGTACATAATAATTAGTAAAACCAGTTACACTCAAGATAACAAGAAAGCAGTTAGCTGGCAGTGAAGTCTGGATGCTTCTCAATCAAGTAACTTTTCTGAGTAGTTGGATGTGTACATACATAATTACTTTAAAATAGACTACTCAAGATCAATTGTCAAAGGAGCTTGCTGTTATTCGGTCTTAACAGACATCAAACTCCATCAAACTATGATCTAGTATCCCTAAGCTGAGAAGCATACCACTTAAGAGGTAGCTCAGAACAAGGCGAGATGATGATAAAGAAAGAAGTTATGGGTGCTGCTAAATATAATACTTAAGTTCAGAGCTCCCTTTCCTGATTTTGCTGTCAACATGCATCATAATTCCTGTATAAAGTCTTTTCTTCCTCCTTCGAGCACACCTTCATGGTGTAACAGTACCACACTTGGAGCTTATTAAATGAATCTAAATGTTTGAAGCTCTTCAGAGGCAGATATTATCTTTATTATTAAAAAAAATAATAATAATAAAAAGTGCCCTTGAGATGGTTATTTAAAGTAATAGTACAGTTTCCTAGAATTTTATACATCAAAAAAATTAGTCTGAATATCTTTATTTTCAACTAAAGGGAGACATCTTATATACATTGCAATATTTACTATCTGTATACTACAGTTTGAGAAGCATTGAAAGAATCAAACACAAAAGCTGATTGTAATATATACGATAATTTCTAAAATTAAGATCAGTTTAAGACTGAATGAAAATAAACATGAAATATTCTACCAAAATATAATACTTGCTATTTCAATACTTCATTGTAATTTCCCAATCATGCAAGAAGAATGAATGCATTTGATCATGCATGAATAACAAACCATGCAATTCTGACTGCATGAAGATATAACAAAAAATGAATCTTCTACTTATCCAAAATGACACATAAAGAACAGCAGCCTTTAAAATTTCACATAAATAGAAAATTACTTTTGACAGTTTATTATGTTTAATTACATGATCATTTCCTTTTTGATAACATTATACAGATGTTTCATATATATGCACTTAAAACTTCTGGTTTCAAAAACCTATACCCCAAATTTTCAAAGTAATCTGCGTGAACTGGATGTATTATATGCACATATATTGTTTATTGTTATTCTTGAAATAATTTACACCTAACTTAGAAACTAGGGGAAAAGTCTATTAATCATACTTGAAAAATGTAAGATATGAAGAGAAGAACTGAGAAGTAGAAAAGAATTTCTATGTGAAGGAAGAGGGGTGGAAATAGAACTATTCATCAATAGTGGCAGACATGATTGAACTGGAAAGTCAACTGCAAAAGTCAAATGTTACTTTAAAAATGTTTGAAGGAACTATAGCTATTTACATTAAGCCAATTGGATGACAAAAAAAAAAAAAAAAAACTCCTTGCACAGTTGAATTTTGCATGCATTTAACCTATTTCAAGAAATGATGTATTATTGAAAGAAACAAAAAGCATACAGAGCAATCATTTATAAAAATATTTATATGAAACTGGGAGGAAAAGGGAGAGGCTGATGATTATTGGTTTTTTGTAGTTTTACACAATAACTTTTTCTAGGAGGGAAGAACAAATAACTTTTTCTAGAAGGAGGGAGACTTTTTCTAATTAATGAATAATGTATTAGTTAAGATCTATTGTTAGATACTTGAGTATAATCCTGTTGACTGTGCAAGTTGGCTGACACCAAACCATCACAATTAGTGGAGATCCCACTAAAGTTCTGCCAATCATTCCTGAAGAATTCTGAAGAAACTGACACCTTTTTTATTGAATAAACAATTAAATCAGTATTTGACTTACTTTGCTTTTGAGCTCTGTAAAAAATAAAAATAAAAGGTAACTTATTGAGAATCAGTCGGGGTTACATCAAATGAAAGTGCATTATGAGCAGTTGTTATACCTTATCCATAATTGGCACTAAATCTCTCTGCTTTGGTGACAGTTTCATGGTCAACAGGTTAATACGAAAGTACCTGTTGTTATTTTTAATTTAATCAGGAAGAATACTCTCTAAAAAAAAATTCTATGAATGTAAAACAGCAAGATTTTATAATATCAAGTCTTAAACATATATTAAATAAAATAACAAACAGTTTGAAATCTCGCAGCAGTATTATTTTAAAACCGTAAATATAAAGCACATATTCAGAAAATTCTCCATATTATATAGTAAATTTAGTAATACTAAAATAATGTTTTTTTTTTTTTTTTTTTTTTTTTGATCTAACTTTAAATCTGATTTGGACACCATGTTACTTCCTTATACGACCTAGCAAGTTGAAAATGGCATCAAAAATCGCAAATTTTTAAATTAAATATCCCAATCAATTTTTTTCGAAAAGGAATAAAATTTCTTGTATTTTTATTTTTTCAAAATGAGTAAAAAACTTTTCTAAATATAAGTCTAGGAACCAGGAGACCACATTGTCCAAAATTGTCCTTATTTGTCCAAAATTAATTTTTTTTTAATTTGACATTGCTGAAACATGAATATTTCCATCATTTAAAACATTTCTATATAATTGGAAGTATATGACTAAGATCAACGACTGCGAAAATAAAAGCTGAGTATAGTCTTTTAAAGCGGTAAGAGGAGTACGATTTGTATATATATATATGCATTTAATATCGTAGATCACAATAAAAAAGGGAGGTGCATGACTAGATATTATAGCAGTCCCATATACATAATTTCAATATTGTACAGCTAATCATTTTTAAGTTATGCAAGAGACATACATACAGATGTCATGAAAAAATCAATTTAACAGTTTAAAAGTCCTTTATTCTGACCATACATACAGACATCATACAAAGAAATAGTCCAAATAGATTCGGGAATGGCCAAAATTGATATTTCTGTTGAAATATGACACCCAAAATTTTTCGTGATTACAATTCTTCCTTTACTTTATACAAGGAAGTAAAATACATATAATGAGCTGACAATCTAATAACACTGTCATATATTAATCTGTGTCAAATGCCCATATGACTCTACAGTATGATTCTCCTTCCATAATACTACCACTAGCTAAGAGAAATCAAACACTTTCTTTCATAAATCGCACAGATGCTCGGAACTCACGCCATCAAACTGCATCCATATATGTCTGCTACACCATGTGCGGCAACTCTCACAAAACAAAAGAAATGTTTAAGTTGAAACTTGAATTGCTGGAGAAAATGGAGAGAGGATACAGCAGATTTAAATTTATGAAGGAATACAAAGGTTGGAACCTGCACTTAATACAATATTAACCCCCCTCTCATAAAGCGTTGGCTAGCTTTGGATATTTTTGATGCAAAGAGAATGTTTAAATGTTGCAGAATGTTAGAAAAACTTTACCAGTTTTCCAGTGAAGAATAAGATTATACATCTAAAGGTGAACTTTAAAGTAGTGTCCACGACTTTCAGAAACAATTCACACTGAAAGATGTCACATTTATTTTGTCTGTTGCCTGGAAAGAATGTAAAGAATACTGTTTTATGTTGCTGTTGGCACAAAATGTTGCCTATGACAATAATATATGATGAATTCAGTGATGAAAATTGTCTTGCTTTTAAGTCATGTCCCATGCCCCCGTCTGGCATCTTATATTTAATTACATATTCAGAAACTATTAGTGTTAATGAAGAAGAGGTAAAGTCTTGGATGGACACAATTTTGTTCCTGTCACACTCTCTCAAGACAAGGATCAAATATATGAACATGTATTGGAAAAGGTTGGTTATTTGAATATGGCAAAGGACATGAAGGCTATCTTGTCTTAGGGAAGATGTCATAATGAAGGACTTTCCTCATATTCACGTTACACATGGTGAAGTCATGAAACCCAACCATGCAACCAGCCTATTCACATGGGATCGAACTCAGATTGAGCTGTTAGTATTTAGCAGTTTTAATCGCTCACCCACCAATGAGGCACTGGGAAAGGAGAGGGATGAGGAAGAGGTTGGGAGGAATAATTAAAAAGATGTTAGGAACAGTAAGAATGTTAATAAATCCTCTGAGAGGCCTGGGTTTTTGGATCTCTCATGAAGACCTATATTTAAAGAGCCTTTAGCTAAATATGTATAGTTACTTATTTTATTCTCTATTTTCATAAATTTACATTCACCAAGATGGCATTTATATTATTAATAAAAGTAAGAAAGTAAAATATCTTAAATTATAAGCTAATATATAACAAGTGACAAAAAATCTCATGACCAGATAAAGCTGGTCATGGTGCTCAGAGGGTTAAAGAAAGCTGAGAATGAATATATAACTTTCTTAGGATATGTCAAGCAATGTTTGTTTATATATAAAGCTTCACTGAACACATAGAAAAATTTCAAGATAATACTGCAAGCACACATTCTGACATTGGAAGTTATATGTCATCACATTAAGAAATTCGCAACTTTCATCTGATAACATATATGGTAATTTTAAAATATTAAGCAATTTAGTTTTACTGAAATATAAAATCATGTATGTGTATTTTAATTTTAAATAGTTCGTATGATTATTTTTTTGCATTATTTATTTAATAGTTGTTGACAAATCAGAAAACACAACGAATGAACTTGCTGAATTTTCTACAAATAGCATAACAAAACATGAACAAGTAAATTCTAGAAATAT